ACCACGAAGGACAGGTAGGACTTTTGACGTCTCACACCAACACAAGTAATCCGCAGCAAGCAGCCATGCTGTCTACACAGCGAGAGGAAATGGTAATACGACGTCGCCTACAATATAACGATTAAAGGTATGGCCGTTTTCTTCCTACTGTGGCAGTAGGCCTGCGTGGACTTTGTTTTATGACTTTTCAGCTCACAACTAACGCCGTACATTGAACAGAGAACCAACTTGCAGAAATATGATGGATAATATGCAGTGACAGGCGAATTTGTGCTTCTTATCTTTAATTATGTTCCTGAAAATAATTGTCGCGCAGCGGTGGTGAAGTTCAGTGAAAAATAGGCCAGTTTTAAAAATAGCATAGTCTATATTTTAACTCCTGATATGTAAGAACATTATAACAGAAATTATATTTTTATCAATGTTGTCTAGCAGTATGTTTTATTAAATGTCTGTGCACACATAACATGGTTAATCTCAAACAACATGATGTCATATGTATTGGAGATAAATACAAATGATTGTTTTTAAAGGGCAAGTTTTTCTGAATTGTACATGAATGTTTAATTAAATTTAAAATATATTTCGGAATAAAACATTTCAAAAAACTAACCATATACGCATATGTAACCGTTTTATATCTTACAATTGGAGAAGAAAATCTAGAATTATATTCCGTTGACCAGGAACTACAATTTATGCGGTTTTCTGAAAGTTATGTTTTTACTGTCTAAAGTTGTCACCTATAGTAATCAAATAGCCTACACGGCCGGGATTAACATTTACTATGCCGAACAAAGGAAGACCCAGAGTAACCTCACTAAACCAGAGAGAATCGTTTCAAAAAACAAAACTAAATGTTTTTTGGCGCTTTGCACTCTTATCAGCCGCTGATTTTACCTTGAAAACGTAAAATCTAGAAAAAGTTTCACTGCTTTGGTTGTGTGTGGAGGCTCAAAACTGCAGGCCGCTGTCAGCCAGAGACATGAGGCAGGAGGCTGATAACCTCTGGTGGTGACCAGAGGAAAATATCAGGAAGTGCTGCAACTGACTCTAATTTAGGGATATTTTAGTTCACTTCGTTTTTGTCTTTGTTATGACTCATTTAGCTCGACGTTGGTGCTTTTTTGTGCGTTTGACAGTATTTATGAATTGTGGAGTTGACAGTCCTTATCATTTTGATGCTTAAGTTAACTGTAAAAGTTGAAATCCTGCTTATAGTGGATGGTGAAGCAAATACAAGAGTTACAGCTGAAGCCATACGAGTTTTAATCTTTTTCAGCTCTTTTATGGGTTAATGTTTGTTGTTTACATGACATTTTACATTACACTGGATTGTTTTGTGATTGTATTGGTCTAATGTTGGAATAGTCATGATAATCTGGAAATCGCATGTGGGGGCAGAATAAAACAACAAAGAGAACCAGGATTTCGACGTTCAGTTTGTTTATTTACACCTATTTAATTTTTTTTGACGCCTTTGCAGATATGGCTGTAAAACATATCCACATAACACATTTGACAGAAATGTTTGAAAGTCCCGTTGTGTTTAAGCATTTAATTTATTAACTGAAACCTATCTGACTGACGACATGAGTCAATTTTGGTTTGAAAAGTTAATAATTTATTGATCATGAATAAAGACCTAGTGGATGAGTAGTTTACATTTGGTATTCTTGATCACATATTACATGCACGCACACACACATACAAATAACAACACACACACATTGAAACGGTTCAGTTAAGAATTCAAAATTAAGTTAATAAATTAATAAATTGAAAATAATATTTCCTTATATGAGCAAATATCTTGTGGCAGCTTATAGTATTATAACTTTATATAAAGTGACCATGAACTTCAAATGTTCTATAAAATAACACAAAGGCTTTACTATAAATGCTAGTTTGCGATGTTTAATTTGCATATATCTATAGGAATCATATATGCAAATATATAAAGGTATTAACGTGTGTTATATTTTTATGGAGACTGACATTTAAATAGGCCTAATACATTATTACAAGAGCTATCCTTAGCAAACAGTTTTAATTAATGGAATACATTTTCCTAAGTTTAGTCAGAAAGGATGATGTAGCAAAGACGCATTAAATATCCTCTGTTGTAGACAAATAAAAACGATCAGCCAAACCTTTGAACTAAAACGTTACCACTTTTGTGGGTTCTTTAGGCATCCCTTGGTGGTTTGTTTTACTTGAAGGAAGCTTTAAAAGGGTTGCACAAGGCTATAACTGTGGCAACCTGTCTGAAGAGAATCAAAGAGAGAAAAGGGAAGAAAAGCCTTTTGTTTAGGCTATTGCCCTGTCTGGAGAGGACCAGTGGATTCCAGGAGGGTAATTTCAATATCGAGCAGACAGTGTACTAGACAGTGACCTTGACAGTGCTATATGCTCGGTTTACCAAGTCCTTTTTTTTTTTTTTTTCATAGCAGATTTTAGTTTTTTCTAAATAAGAGCACAAGCCCTATAGCTCGTACTCAGATATGACATCATCGCTGAGCTAAAGATGCACTGAACAGACGAGCAGTTGTTTGAATGTGAAATGCGGATTTGTGGGAGCCCTGGATCGGAGGCGTGGAGAGACGAGGCAAGGAGGCGCAACACATGGCCTCTTTCTCCGAGGTAAAGTGGCGACTTAAGTCTACACGTTACTCACTCACTGGACGACCATCCGGGCCATTTTGTTGTAAACATCACACTGCACTGTTTTGCTTTTGCTATAGCTGTTACAATAACACGAGAAGCCGTGAAGTGATACCACGACGCCCCCAGTGCTCCTCATAAGACTGAGGCACAAGATATTATATTGGATTGATGTGGTGCTGCATTGCGCGACTGACTAACTAGATGCAAGAATGTGCAGTGATAGGAGAGGCAATGAGTCCAAGGGACAAAATGAAACCGCAACGGATCCCTAAGAGCTTCTCCAGTTTAAACATTGGATATTTTTCTTTCTATTTAAGGCAGGAGCGAGGCCCGGTGCCTTTGGGTTAGATAGGATACGTGGTCACAAGTGACGGATGCATCTATCAAATAACGGCTGACTTGCAAATCGTTCCCAAACCAATGTTTAAATGAATGCCAATGTTCTCACATAACACTTCATTGGCAAATTTGTGACACGCCACTTAACTAGCGCCATTCAGCACGCAGGTGCAAGCAGCTGTAACCGTGCACCTTTTTTTGTCAATACTTAACGTCATAGTATCAGTTATTAATGAATGAAATCAGTGTTTATTTTTATTATTTGGACTCTCATCACTTATTTTATTTTTAGGGAGCCATGTTAAGGAAGATGATAGGTTGCTTTTTAAATCAGCGAAATAGCTATCGGCGCATCCTGGAATATATTCACATTATTTTTATGACTTGGGCTGGTAGCCCTCACTTTAAGCTGCCACGGCTTAAAAGACTGTTAGATGTTTATTTTATTTTATTGATTCTAATATCTAGCCTACTTCTTTTATTCATTTAAATGGAGTATTTGAGTTCACTATCAAGTTCAACCCACCGTGACTCTGCGTCATGAACTTGAGTGGATTGACGGCCATGTTGCGTGTTTGCTTGTTTATATTTAGGACCCTTTTTTCGTATTCTAATTCCGTGTCATTGATCGTTGAGTCAAACTCTTTGTTCTTGAGGTAGTCAGATTTTTTTTAAAACTGTCATAATTGAGACATAAGCAGCCCCTTACTGCTGAGTTATGACAACTTTTAAGATCCATAAATTGATTTTGTTTTCCTTATAGGTAGAGTAGGGTTGTAGTAAATTATGAATTTATAAAGAGAAAGTGGAGTTTGCAAAATTGTTGCTGGACCGAACATAGTAGCCTAATATATTAACGATTGGAAAGTCTTCCTATATTTAGTTTTCAATTAACGAGGAGTTTGTAGACCCGGCAGAGGAATGCAAAATGCACAGGTCAGTCATAAGAATGTTTGAGGATGATTGTTGAGCAGTTTGATGGCCAAAGACCACATTAGAAATTCTTGCGCCAGCTGTTGGCAGAATGCCTGAATCCTGTGCATATCATGGCGAAGTTTTCTGCATAAAAAGTGCACTATGGTGGAGTCTCTGAAAGGCTTTTTGTGGCCTTCTTTGTCAGAAGAGAGGCAAAACTACAGAATGGCATATCCCATATTTGTTCAGTGTCTTCAGAGCTGCATCTACAAATCAACTAATTAGCGAGATATAAAGTAGAGAGACTCTCAGCTGGTTGAATCAGTTAAGTGCCCTCTGATATCTTGTAAAATTCATATAAAAGAATTGTGAGAGGTATAACAATCCCACCAGAGTTTGGCTGCGAACGTTTATTGGAGGTATCTGTTAAAGTTGTTCATGTGAGGTGTGCTAGAGAATATTATGTGAAATACACCCTCTTAAAGTAACCTTGTAGAATATCGTCCTCTTTTACAGAGCCAGTGGCTTCAACCTGCTGACCCCGTTACTGTAAATATGAGTAGAGTGCGGCAATGAGCATCAGTCTTTTCTTAAAACAAGCTTGTAAAATTGGGACATCACAGCTTTATATGACATGGAATTCAACCATAATTTGTTAGAAAACAAGATGTCATATGCACCCTCTCCTTAAAGAAAAAATAGTTTTCATAAGAAATAGCATTTTAAAAACTTTTGCCAGCTTATAAAGATATTAAACGAGGCCATGGACAGTTCCACGAGTGTAAAAGGAGAAGCAGCCTGGGCTCCTTTTTTAGGACTCTGCAGGGCTCAAGTGAAGAAAAACAAGATTCTACATTTTTAATAAAACGTTTATAGTATTTTAAAAAGCATATAAACCTCTGTAATACAGAAGTTAATGTTTTGTTTTGTCTGAGATGGACCGAGTGGGTGGTACCATGTGTAGTTGAAGTTAGCCTGGACACGTGGTTTGTGGATGACCAATCAGGCGCCCCTCCAGGTTTAACTATGTTAAATGTCAGATTGCAATAAACTAGAAGCTGTTGGTCGGGCCCGCGGAAATGGGCGAGCATAATCTCCTTAATCCAGGGTTTGTGGGACCTTTGGTAAACATCCACACTGGAGACACATTTTACTTTCCGAATTTTAGAGCCTCAGGGGGACAACTGGCGGGGCTACCGTCTCTCTCCTACCCGAGAAGGGACAATGTTTGCTCCCTCCCGTGGAATCCTTCGGAGCCGTGCAATGGATACTCTCAATCCTACTTTAGCAGCCCTGTGTCTATTAACCCTTCTTTCAATCGGTCGTGTGAAATTACCAGACCAGAAGAGGGTAAATGTTATTATAACAACGGAAACGGGAACAGGGAGACCTGTTCAGGTGGCAGCAGCCTCAAACGAGAGGATAGGGCGAGAGACACATCATCATTAACATCTGACCACGGGATGCACAGTGGAATTGGCAGCACCACCGCCTTTTCCAAATATGATTACGGGACCGAGCAGCTAACGCAAGACCCGCCATCCTGTCAGTCAATGGAGTCCGACTCCAGCTCCTCTTTGCTCAACGAGGGCAGCAAGCCTCCATCCAGCGACACACAGACCCTGGTGTCACCGGGAAGCCATGCAAGCAACATAGCCGCTGGCGGAGGTGGGTGTTATTTTTTAAATCACAATTTTTATATAAACGCACGTTGACATTATTTATAAGGCTGCACATAGTGTACACGTGCGGTATTACAGCGTCGTTAGAGCTCGTTATCTTGATGCACAACTTGCACACTGGATAAGCCTGCAGGGTAGACTTGCGTGGTGTGCAAACGCCGCTAGGGGTTGCCCTAAAATGCCTCACGCGCCATGTGGTTGTGTACAGTTACAGATAACCTCACCAAACCATATTGCCAACCAGCTTTTGAATAAATTATGAGCCCTGTCATCGCATTTACCATACCTTAAACGAGAAACTGTGATTCAGGCACTTCACTTGTTGATGTTGGTGTATTGTTGCACTTTGTAGACGCAAATTAGCGCAGTGATTTAAAGAGGTGAGGCGCTTTGGTTGACTGCATCGAATAGAGTGAATTTTCTTTTTAATGACTCGTAAACAGAATTAATATCTGTCGCTGTGTACTCAAGAGTCATTTAATATGCTCTGAAACTCGCAAATAAGTAGGGGTATTTGCAAGCAGGCTTAATTATCACGTTAATTCTACTTTAACTGCAACAATAAAACTTCTGTGACACAAACCGCTGTATACTGGTGGTCTCTAGAGGGGGTTGAAAAATATAAAATAAAACACCTATGATCAAAAATTGCACAACATTGGACAGGCTCTGGTGGTCCTGAAATTGGGTCTGAGATCAGATACCGGCAGTCCAGGCAGAGACCAAAACAAATCCAGCTTGGCTGTGTGTGTGTGTGTGTGTGTGTGTGTGTGTGTGTGTGTGCGCGTGGAGGAAGTGCAGCTTCCAGGGACGTCAATTCTATGAATCCTAATATAAAGCAGAATCCCTACATTTGGGATATTTTGCAAATCACAGAAATAATCTCTATGACGTAAATACTGTCCACTTTTCCACTACTGCACATATTTTAGAAAACGGAGTGCTTTATCATTAGAATCGATTTTGACCTCTAAATAGGACTTTCTGACATAGCTCTCCAGAGTAAAACTTAAATGGATGTTAAATTCCCGTATCCTACAGTAGGACAATTGCCCAAGCTTGCCTTGGCCAACTGACGCGTCTGTAGGCTCTTCATAACCTTGGAGGTGACCGTGATTTTGCAACTGTGGCGACTAACCCGTTGTAATGCCCCCCTCCTCCTCCTCCCTCCTCTCCTCCAGGTGCCCCATGGTACCCGATGCACACTCGGACAAGAAAGAAGCGTAAACCGTATTCCAAACTTCAACTGGCTGAGCTAGAAGGCGAATTCATGATGAACGAATTCATCACCAGGCAGCGGCGGAGGGAGCTCTCCGACCGTCTGAATCTCAGCGACCAACAAGTCAAGATCTGGTTCCAGAACCGCAGGATGAAGAAGAAGAGACTCATGCTGAGAGAGCAAGCTTTGGCCTACTTTTAGAGATGCGGCAGAAGGGGAATCGATAGGCAGTAAAGGCCAAGCCTTCTACGCTCCCTTAGGTCTCCTTTGAATGCATGCACTCATCTATCCATCTTTTGCATTGCAGGCAATTATTAAACAACATTTTTAGATTTTTTTTTTCTCAAAGGTGCGGGCTACACAAGCCCAAAAACCAGCCACTAGCTGGCATTCAAAGCTATATTCGACATGTTGCCTTCATGTTTGGTATAATCGCACAAAAAGCTGTGAGAATGTGTTTTCTGTGTAGGATGCATCTCTTGGTTTTACTGATTTGTCAACAGATGAGTCTACGCCCATGTAAGCCACGCGAAATATGTCGTCAAGGCAATAGCTCAGTTTAGGATGACACATCATCCCTTTTGTTCCTTTTTTAGTCAGAGGGAATGGGGAGAGAGCGGGGCCACTAGCTAAAATCTCAAATATAATAGGCCTAAAAATAACAGTGAAGTCAGAAAGGCAGAGAAGGCTGACTGGCCTGCTGGATCCGCATCTGCGCAATAATTTCTCTGAAGTTATGAACTGATAAAGAAGAATCTTCCTCCCGGTTGCTTAATACTTCCACAGCCATAATTTGTTGGGTAAGAGGAACGTCAAGTTATCTCCTTTCCATAGTTTTCGCCAGGCGTTGTGGGCACGTTCACGGTCACGGGCAGGACGTCTGGGAGTCTGCATGAGGAGAGGGAGGACTAAAACCGCAATGTAATCCATATCGTTATCTTTATGACTGCGCATTGAACAATGAATTGCCATGACTTTGGTTCATGTGCTAACAAGTTTCTAAAGGTATTTTTCTTACTTTTATTACCTTTCAACTTGTCTTAACAACAACCACAGAATCCTGCATGGGTTGCATTTCTTTGACTGAGTGAGATCACCGTTTGAATACGGGTTTGAGCTGCTATTAAAAGTCCACGTCCAGATTGTGTAAAAAAATAGTGTATTCTACAATAAACTCGCGAGGATCTGTAATGGAAATATTCACCAGTATTTAGGCCATCTTGGTTAAACAAGGAACCGCCTGAAGTTGCAACTGGGGGGCCGGAGGAGGGCTGGTTTTTAGGCTTACAAGAGCATTTCTGAAACTTGGTGCTCATAATGAAAATAAATATCTAGGAATTTAGAAAAGTTAATCATAGGCCTACGTGTGTACTCCCTTAATTCCGGGGTAATGCAGTGCATCATCTGTCATGTATAACGAGTAAGCTATAGCAGTGAAATGTATTTGCAGCATGTTATTGATGTGAAATAGCTATAAGTCATGTTCTGCGGGCCACTTTTTCTGTAGGTGACTTTTTAATACAAATGTTTTTTTCTGAACAAATCAAAAACAAACACCACCTAAATGATTTTTGACACAAACGTCTGCAAAGAATGTTTTATTATTAGTATTATTATTAATAGTATTATTATTAGGGTGGGAGGACAGAGGGCCTATCAGGCCTACTTAATGTACTTGCTCCTTGCAATGTGCTCGATGTTGTCCCTTTCCTTACCTTGTACTCGTGTATAACTTTATAAAATTAAATTACATATGTTACTATTTGCATCCTGTTTGAGGATCCCTTATCGCTATGTAATAGTGCTTTATGTTATTGATCGTCTTGTACAATATTGCATTCCATATAGCCTATTTGTGGTTGTAAGGGTTGGACATGTAGGCCTATTATATAATACTGCCAAGAATGGATATAAGAAATGGTATGCAAGACAATTTACATACATTCATGACATTTAAAGAAACCCTGTTTCAGTGTAATAGTTGTTTGTTATCGTTCTTTTATTTCGTCCCTCATTGCATTCCCTTCTTTGCGCTCGTAAGGATTGCTACGTTGTCTTGTAAAAGTAATAATGATATGAATGTATATGCGTACGGTCTTCAATAAACAGAATATTGAAACGTTTATTGGTGTTACCTCAGTCTGTCATTAGGTTGCCTCTCTGAATGTTCTGCTTTAAAATCAGGTTTTCTGAGTGCTGACTGGTGGGATTATTTTATTAGACTTGACCTGTAACACATTTAAAAAAATACATGTGTCCGCTGCAGTGAAATAAAGCATTAATGGGACATTTGGAAGCATTTGAGAGAGTGTTTTGTTGGCGCATAATTGCACATGCTGTGAACTATAATCAATAGGAGCCCACACAGGTTGGCCTTGTTTTATTATGGCTTCTCAGGTACTAAGGTAGACCATAGGTAGCTATGATAGCTTTCCATGCACAATGGCGTCCAGATGTATATCCTAAATCCCATCTTGCATCATTTCTATAGTAGTCTGGAAGACTACAACAACCATACAACTACAACATTAGTTTTAGGTTCAAAAAAGCCCATTTCACATATTTTCCCGAAGCCTTGTTGTTTCCCTTAAAGTTCGACCTAATCAATGTCACTGGTATGCTACAAGCCTATAACGGCGCAGCTAAACACGCAATAGCTCTGTAAAGCAGTAATAGGGTTACACCCCAGTGTTCAATATAGTCAAGCCTCTTAGCCTGGCTTTTCCTTGTGCATCCTATCTTCTGCTTTGCATTAGGGGATTTAAAAGCGTGATAATTACATATCAAAACACGCTTTATGAAAACATCCACACAGATCAGATGAAAGGTCTTTCTCAAATGGGATACATCTTTACAAACGACATTGCCGGTTGTATAATAAACCCATATCTGGAATCCTCAAAGCTCTCCCTACTGGCAAGGAAGTGTAAAGCAATGCAGGGCTGTGCAGTGTTTTCCTATCGGCTAACTAACCAAGCATTAATGCGTTTGTCCTCAACAGCTTCCAGTCTCGGTTATGTGAAGTAGGCCCACTGGAAACTGTTGTGCTGTCTCAATGTTGAGATCAGATGTTGCCTTTTCAGTGAACTGTGAACGGCCGCTCCTGCAACGACCCACTGAATGGCCTTCCTGAGTTAGTCTGTCCATGATCAGGACACTGGATACACACATGGAAGATGACGTGAGCTCATTACTTAACACAGTCCTCTCGCTATATTAACTATGGGCCTAAACATTTATCAGTTCAGATATATTGAAGATAGCCTACACTGTCATTACAACAGACATATATGGCTTTGAGCTGAATAAAGCCTTGGTGCAGTACCAAACTCTTCTAGTAGCTATACTGTAATCATGCTTCTGCAGCTCACAGATATTTCTCCATCTTTACCTTACAAAAAAACTTACACGTCCCTCAGTTAGGCTCCAGATAAACTTCTTATGTATTCATCAACACAATGAATAATATTTCGTTATGTAATGTATACACGGTACATGTATAGAGTGAATATAAAAGTCGTAGGCTAATATCCACCATGCAAAGGACCGGCTGACGCTCTGCTATTTGATCGTGCACAATACATCAGTTTTGCAGATATTAAAAATAATAAACAAATCTCAAATAGTTTGTGAATACACACATACATCTTGTCAAAATAAGATTAGATGTCAATATATGACATCCTCTTGTTCTATGTTTTGGGGAAATGTTCTCCATGTACATTTGCGCATCTGATTTAAAAGTGGTTTGTAGAATAATTTCACTTAAAGGACCACCTACAATTTGAACACGGTTAGCAGAGGACCTTCTAGCATCTGTCTGTGAATTGTTTCCTCAGTATAATAGAAATGCAGGCGTAATAGTCTGATATGTACCCTTTTACGCACCGATGTCTGTTTTAATCAAAGGAACACACAGTGCATTAGTTTTGAAGTGGCGCCAGGCTGATGCAAAGCATAACTACTAAGTGTAGCAAGTATTTGCTGCAATATGATAATAACCGAGACTATGAAATAATACTGTGGAGATATTCAATTTCGTGTATTGAATTTGATCATCCAGAGGACATCATTCATAACAACCCCAATCTTTTTAGCCTATCAAACGCGCTGTTGACCATGAAAGGCGATAAACGTGTGTCTTATGTTTGTGTGTTGCCTTGTTAAATGGGTTAGGGGAGAATAATAGATGCAAAATGCTGATGGTCCTGACTGTCCTGCAGTACCTCAGCTATCATTTAAAAAAGCTATTTGATAGACTCTTCAAGGTCAGTTATGTTACAAATATTGTCTAAAAACGTTAAAATCCTTTTGTGTATGTTGAATAATGTTGAACATCAGCAACTGCAGTAACTTAATTAGGTTCAATTATTCATATTTCTAATTTTATACGCATTGAGCTTGTAAAAATGCGCAAAACAATCTGGGGGCCTGGAAAAGAAAGCACGAGATCAATGATTTGTAAAGAATTGCAGTAGATCAGCGTTCAGTTGAACTGAGAAAAGTGTAAACTGAACAGTGTTAGGCCGCGGCAATTTGCATGATTTCTTAATACAAATGTATTTTGACTAGGAGAACACCGGTGATAGCATCAAAACAATTCGCAACATTGAGCACAGATTGAATCGTATTTGCTACCAAATGATGCAAACAGTGGTTCGTGTTTACAGGCTAGGAGGGGGATTCCTGTGTGAAACGGTGGGTTTATTCGGACAGAATAACGAGGCCAAAAAAACTGTGCCAAACGGATATCTGAATATGTAGTTTTAACTTGAACTTCAAACCAGACGTATCTGTTAGTGCCATGTGTGACTTTTCTGTATAGCCTATGTAGGCCCATTTCTATCCATTACTGTGCTTTTTCTTGTGACAAATCATGTGCTGATAACAAGAGCTTTTGCATCCAACAAACCCCTAAACATTGCACTGCGACCTTTACCTGCCACCGTGCTTCTCCTCAAAAGCAAAAAATTACCACTGCAGAACAGCTTATATTAGTTTGCACTTATTTGCCTTGTCTGCATTCTAATTTAGTTAAATTCACTCTGTACAGGATAAAAGAGGGAATAAAAAAACCAACTGTCACCATTGCGGAGAACCTCAAGGTATTTGGATTGTAAAACAGGATGAAAACTCAGTTGGCTTTGCACGTCTTTACAATAGGTCTTTCACTGCTCTTGAGCACTTTTGACTTTGAGACTAGCTAAATCTGTTTATGGTGGCCTGTCTCCGCGTCCCAAAGGTCAGTGAGCTTCACAGTGCCCTTCGCAGAGAACTTGTGTGGCATGTGGTCTACGTCCCCCGCCACCCCTCTGCCGTTTATGGTACGAAGCTGGCAGGAGAAACAGAAAGCAATGTTATTCCTACTGAAGTGTATGTGGGGGAGTGTAGAGTGGGTGGACGTGCATGATTGTGCGTGTGTGTGTGAGGGTGAATGTGTTTGTGATTTGAAGGAGAGTGTTAATGTGATAGAGAAAGAGAGGATAGCTAGAATGCTTAACATAAAACATAGATATCGTTTCGCTCCTTTCAGAACTACTAAATATTGATTTTGACATAATTTGAAATGAGTTCTTTATGAGCTCTATTTTTTTTCTGAAATGTACTATCCTATCAATTTGTTTTTCAATAGTTTCACACGTCCAACAACCCTTAATACGGGGTGTGAAGGTTTCATTTCTAGATTTGAAGGAGCCGGATTCCTCTTAGATCTGTTCTTAGACCAGTTGTCTCTGAAGGTAAAGAAAGGAAAAACGTCTTAGAATTTCAAAATTGGTGGACGTTGCGACTACGAATCAGTAGCCAATCGTTTTCATTTTCTTTTCTTGGTTAGTAGCATCTTTGCCATTTTTAATTTTGTATTTTTAAAATGGCATGACAACATTATAATGTGAAGAATGTGTACGGCATCTGTCAGCGCCTGAAGTGATATTTTGCTCAGTAATATTTAACACACTCTTATTTAGTCTGTTTTTCAGTGTTTTAAATAAATAGATTGATTTTTCTCTTTTCGTTTCCTAATACATATAGGGCATTCTTCTTAAATGTTTAGTATTTTGTAGGTAGACTCTTCTTTCCAGGGCGACGCTTGGGGCCTTAACGCACTCACTGAAGGTCAAGTATGCAGCATGGGGCTGCACAACTGCCGGTGCCTGCTTAAAGCGCTTACAATTTTATACAAGATGGAAAAAGTCTGTGTCACCTGTTCAAGTTTGTCCAGTATCGGTTCAGTACACATGCAGTGTAGCCTGGAATTAACGTTCCTAAATATCGTATCAATATTTGTCTGTGCGGTTTCTGTGTGTGTTTAAAGGTCTGGCTCTGAAGAGGAGCTCGAAAATGTACAACTCAGACGGCAAAGCAAACATTAGTACTAAGTGTTTGAGCAGGCATTTCAACGGTATCTGAATCTGTAGCGTAAAGCTCAGAGCTTCTATTTTGGGTCCACATACTGAACCACTCCTGCGCAAGGCCACCGCAAACTAAAAAATGCATTTTGACCCCTCGGTGCGAAAAGAAACAGCCAGTGCTTAAAATAACTGTTATAAATGCATGCTGAATTCACACTAATTGAAGTTACAATGACAAATAAATGTGCAGTTTTTTGCTACTGAACGAGGATTCCATTTGTCACCTGACTGTCCCCTTGCATCCACTTGGCCTAACATTGTTTCCGACAAGATTCGACCAAATAATGAAAGTAAATGCCCTCAGGTGAAACGCTTGTCTGACAAAATATTTGCATGTAGTTACTTAATAAAATAAGCAGGTTGTGTCAAAACATAATCATACTCAGATTTGTGTTATCATTTTGTCATTGTCGCCAAACTAAGTGTATCACCTGTAGGTCAACAAATTCCAAAACAAACCATTGCGTAATGGTTCCCACGTCATGCGTAATTATGTGCCGTCTTGTGTGTAATTTACGAAACCTGGCCAAATATTTAGAACAGTAAGTCAACCTTGAATTGTTTTCAAACACTATGCATATTATCCCCGCTGATTTTAAAAGGCGATCTGGATATTTTAGAAGATTAACTATGCAGTTAATATCGGCCTAATACAGGCCGCGCCTAAAAATATCTTTTTAAATATAAAGGCATGTGACAGAC